AAGAGACAACACAACTCATTTTACTTCTGGATCCTTGCCGTGTTCTGCGCGATGACCCCAAGGAGAGATACACAAATTTTTGAACTTCAATCTACAGTTAGATGTATAATAGACATTATATGTCATGGAAACATATGGAGCAAAAAAATGTAAATGTATTTTTTTTTTTCAAAAATTAAAATCAGAATTTCAAAATGTAGGTATATACTGACGAGTACGGGTTCAAGGAGTTGTGTCCCCAAAAACCACCAAAGTTCCTTCTCGTTACTTTGCCTGCGTGGCCTTAATGGGATGCAGGGGGTCAGAAAAATTTCATAGATAATCATACAATCCGTTTCAAGTATTGCTATTTAATAACCTTCCATACCTTAGCTAGTTGTAGAAAAATGCTTGGTGCGCATTATTTATGCTACAACCTGATCAGGTGTGATTAGTAGTGATACTTGTTGAGCCGCATAGGCTGTAAGATTCCAAAAATGAGCAAAATCAATCCTCTTTTCCCCGCTTTGTAGATCGAATTATTCCTTGCACGAACCACTTAGGGTACTGCAACTTTTATTCCTTTACCACTAATATCCTACTAATCCCTTCCTCTTCTTAAAACACTAATACTACATACCTTCCCAATTAGTTAAATTTTTTAGCTATCTTGCACGCTTAGCCCCAGTTGTTTAAACGTCCTCATAGCTACACCTATCTTTCCTGCATGCTCGCGATCGGTTCGGTAACACGCGTCGCGCGTCATGCGGCAGCGCCCCTCGGTCGGTTGGGCGGGAGGAGGGCTGCGTTTCTGGCTGGGTTCCGCGCGTAACAGGCTTCGGCTTGGTGTCGCATGGGCCACTTGATGGTGCAGTCATTGCATATCAACGTCCAGACATTTAAGTGGATATATGTGTATTTGTATTTATTAATGTGTGTAATGTGAAATTAAAGGTACATAGGTATTAAAGACATTAAACAAGGAACGATAAAATGCATTTGTAGCCGGCTCAATTTCATGAAAGTCTTCGAGAAATGACCAATCAATCAATCAGAAGTTAAAGCAGTCGAAGATGGAGTTGGAAGGACACCCACTCGTCGTTCCGGGCTAGAGGGACGATTGGTAAACACATGACAGATAGTATGTTCAGGCCAGAAAGAGGGGTCGAGCACACTACTGACATGTTTGTCAGGAACGAGTATTTTGAAGGAAGATATGTTGCGTTTAACTTTAAAGTTAAATTTAGTGACAACAAGACCTGAGGAATCATCAATTTCAAGCTTAGAAAAGATAAAGTCCCTGACCAGGACATCCTTAGCCGATGCCATCAGTCGAGAAACGAAAATAGATTTTAGTGGGGCGACAGCAGTTAGGATAGAAGTAGGGATGGTAGAACTATTGTGTAGAACCGGCGGACCAGATTCAACCCGAAGGGCAGAATCGGCAGATGATGGGCCATATTCTGGGTTGACGATGGATGCCGAAGCAGACGGAGCCTCCACATCCATGCTGACGGCAGCGTCTGCGGGTTCCAGTGAAGGCACCGAAGCTCCAGCGCCAGGGTCATCATTAACTTACCGCCTGACATCGCAGTCAGACACAGGCACGGGAGAGGCGGCTGTTGAGGAGGCAGCTGTTGAGGAGGCGGAAGCGGAAGCCACAGTCGGTGCCCCATTATATCCAAGTTCGACAGCTCCAAAGTCTATTAAAGACGGAGAACGAATTGGAGGTGGAGGAGATCCAGGAACTGCAAGGAAAACACCATTATTACCAGTGGGCAGCTGTTGTTACCTTTCTTTCTCTTAGGCGACTCAGACAAAATTTTAGGATTTTTGAAATGAGACTCCATAGAAAGAAACTTATCCTGTAACAGTCGGAATCCAGAGTTGACGGCCGCGAATTCATTATGAGTTTGTCTCATGAAAACTCGCATGTCGCTTTCAATCTGCCTGCAGTCCCAGCAAGTCCAGTTGAGGCCACAGCGAGACTTAATTAAATCGACCACGCGTCCACCAATTTGGCCTAGGTCAGCGCATACCGTATGAGCCATGTTGTCACACAGCCAGCAGTAGGTGAAAATTTTCTTTACGGCTACCGAGCGGCACTTTTTGGCACAGCAGGTACTCATTATAAGAGTGTTGACCGAAAAAAAAAGAAAAATATTTGGGGAAAAGGTAGCAATCAAGTCGGTGTTTAAGGTAAAGCTGTCTCACACGCTTGAACACTCATATAAACGCACAAACAAAAACAAAGATCGCAAAAACAACCGCAAGCGTTCTAGGGCGGCCGCTCGAAGCGGAGTTAGCAATCAAAGCTTAAGCACAGAGAAACGAGATAAAAACTATAACGTATCCGGCCAGTAAATATCCCTGTGTCACTCTAACTCTGCAGTTTCTTAACGGATCAGGACATGCCACGCCTCCTAGCCATCTGTACAACGTCCTGAGTGTGTCAATGCCTTCTGAAGAATGTGCAGGATCTTTTGCAATCAATTTGGATTGCAGGACATAAAGGATATTGCCACTATAACGTAATCTGCCAGTAAATATCCCTGTTTATCTCTAACTCTGAAGTTTCTTATCGGATCAGGACATGCCACGCCTCCTAGCCATCTGTAGAATATCCTGAATGTGTCAATGCCTTCTGGAGAATGTGCAGGATCTTTTTCAATCAATTTGGATTGCAGGACATAAAGGATATAGCCACTATAATGTATCCGGCCAGTAAATATCCCTGTTTCACTCTAACTCTGCAGTTTCTTATCGGATCAGGACATGCCACGCCTCCTAGCCATCTGTACAACGTCCTGAATGTGTCAATGCCTTCTGGAGAATGTGCAGGATCTTTTGCAATCAATTTGGATTGCAGGACATAAAGGATATAGCCACTATAACGTATCCAGCCAGTAAATATCCCTGTTTCACTCTAACTCTGCAGTTTCTTATCGGATCAGGACATGCCACGCCTCCTAGCCATCTGTAGAATGTCCTGAATGTGTCAATGCCTTCTGGAGAATGTGCAGGATCTTTTGCAATCAATTTGGATTGCAGGACATAAAGGATATAGCCACTATAACGTATCCAGCCAGTAAATATCCCTGTTTCACTCTAACTCTGCAGTTTATTATCGGATCAGGACATGCCACGCCTCCTAGCCATCTGTACAACGTGCTGAATGTGTCAATGCCTTCTGGAGAATGTGCAGGATCTTTTTCAATCAATTTGGATTGCAGGACATAAAGGATATAGACACTATAATGTATCCGGCCAGTAAATATCCCTGTTTCAATCTAACTCTGCAGTTTCTTATCGGATCAGGACATGCCACGCCTCCTAGCCATCTGTAGAATGTCCTGAATGTGTCAATGCCTTCTGGAGAATGTGCAGGATCTTTTGCAATTAATTTGGATTGCAGGACATAAAGGATATAGCTACTATAACGTATCCAGCCAGTAAATATCCCTATTTCACTCTAACTCTGAAGTTTCTTTTCGGATCAGGACATGCCACGCCTCCTAGCCATCTGAACAACGTCCTGAATGTGTCAATGCCTTCTGGAGAATGTGCAGGATCTTTTGCAATCAATTTGGATTGCAGGACATAAAGGATATAGCCACTATAACGTATCCGGCCAGTAAATATCCCTGCTTCACTCTAACTCTGCCTTCTGGGGAATGTGCAGGATCTTTTGAAATCAATTTGGATTGCAGGAAATAAAGGATATTGCCACTATAACTTATCCGGCCAGTTAATATCCCTGTTTCACTCTAGCTCTGAAGTTTCTTATCGGATCAGGACATGCCACGCCTCCTAGCCATCTGTACAACGTCCTGATTGTGTCAATGCCTTCTGGAGAATGTGCAGGATCTTTTGCAATCAATTTGCCTACGAAGCCACGAAGAGAACGAGGAGGAGGATCCGCCTCCTCCGAGGTTCTTAAAGGTGAAGACGGGCCTGGTTGACAGACCGGCGGGGCAGCAGCAGCCACAACAGGGTGAAGAGGCACCCTTATGGGAACGCCGGCATCCTGAGCCACCGTCACAGCCACAGAGCACGCAACAGCCAATGCCCCCGCAGTCACCGCCACCAACATCGCCACCACCGAATTCACCGCCACAACAGTCGTCGCCACGACGGCAGGAGTCACCGAAGGAGCCGCCACATGCACAGCAGCCCCAGTGGGGTGGTCCGGAGAACGCGGTATGCGGCCCATTTGTGTCGCAAAGCGTTCACACGGCAGTGAGGAGTGGCATGGTATGGCACCACCAAACGATACACATCACGTGGGCGTCGGGAACCGCACCGTCGGATATAGCCACTATAACGTAATCTGCCAGTAAATATCCCTGTTTCACTCTAACTCTGAAGTTTCTTATCGGATCAGAACATGCCACGCCTCCTAGCCATCTGTACAACGTCCTGATTGTGTCAATGCCTTCTGGAGAATGTGCAGGATCTTTTGCAATCAATTTGCCTACGAAGCCCACGAAGGGAACGAGGAGGAGGCTTTGCCTCCTCCGAGGTTCTTAAAGGTGAAGACGGGCCTGGTTGACAGACCGGCGGGGCAGCAGCAGCCACAACAGGGTGAAGAGGCACCCTTATGGGAACGCCGGCATCCTAAGCCACCGTCGCAGCCACAGAGCACGCAACAGCCAATGCCCCCACAGTCGCCGCCACCAAAATCGCCACCAACGAATTCACCGCCACAACAGTCGTCGCCACGACGGCAGGAGTCACCGAAGGAGCCGCCACAGGAACAGGCACAGCAGCCCCAGTGGGGTGGTCCGGAGAACGCGGTATGCGGGCCATTTGTGTCGCAAAGCGTTCACACGGCAGTGAGGAGTGGCATGGTATGGCACCACCAAGCGATACACATCACGTGGGCGTCGGGACCCGCACCGTCGGAGGTGCAGCAAGACCGGAAGGTATGGGAGGAGCAGCCAGCCCCGCGAAGCAACGCGCGCGATCCACGGCAGCCCCGAAGGCAGGCAGAGGCCAGGGCGGCAGAGGAGACGGCGTCGATGGCAAGGGAGCCAGCGACAGCGGCAGCGGGAACACACGCAGCAGCGGAGGCACCGGCTGCGATGGCGGCCGGGAAGCCGGCGGCAGCGACGGAGACGCCGACATCGGCAGCGACAGAGGCACCGGCACCGACACCGGCAGCGGCAGCGACGGAGGAAGCGGCAGCGCCTGTGACGGCAGCGCCAGCGACAGCGTCGAAAGAACCGGCAGCGGACACGGAAACAGCGACGCCAGCAGCGCGGTCGACAGCGACGCCAGCAGCGCGGCCATTCGCCGAGGCCATACAGAGGAGCCATATGGAACAGCACGGCAGCAGCAGCAGAGGGCGAGTGAGGGGGGAGAAGAGGAGGGGAGGGGGGGGGGAGGGGGGCCCGAAGGAGGAGGAGAGGGAAGGGAGGTGGGGAAGGAAAGGAGGGGACGAGGGAGAGGAGGGGAAGCGAAGCCCACGAGGGGGAGAAGGAGGGCCGAGGTGAAGAGGGCCTGGTGAAGAACGCGCGGAACACCACAGGGAAGGACCAGGGAACGCGGCACCTACCACCAGCCACACACGCAACAGCCAACGCCCCCACAGTCGCCGCCACCAACATCGCCACCACCGAATTCACCGCCACAACAGTCGTCGCCACGACGGCAGGAGTCACCGAAGGAGCCGCCACAGGGCACAGCAGCCCCAGTGGGGTGGTCCGGAGAACGCGGTATGCGGGCCATTTGTGTCGCAAAGCGTTCACACGGCAGTGAGGAGTGGCATGGTATGGCACCACCAAGCGATACACATCACGTGGGCGTCGGGACCCGCACCGTCGGAGGTGCAGCAAGACCGGAAGGTATGGGAGGAGCAGCCAGCCCCGCGAAGCAACGCGCGCGATCCACGGCAGCCCCGAAGGCAGGCAGAGGCCAGGGCGGCAGAGGAGACGGCGTCGATGGCAAGGGAGCCAGCGACAGCGGCAGCGGGAACACACGCAGCAGCGGAGGCACCGGCTGCGATGGCGGCCGGGAAGCCGGCGGCAGCGTTGGAGACGCCGACATCGGCAGCGAAAGAGGCACCGACACCGGCAGCGGCAGCGGCAGCGACGGAGGAAGCGGCAGCGCCTGCGACGGCAGCGCCAGCGAAAGCGTCGAAAGAACCGGCAGCGGACACGGAAACAGCGACGCCAGCAGCGCGGTCGACAGCGACGCCAGCAGCGCGGCCATCAGCCGAGGCCATACAGAGAGCCATATGGAACAGCAGCACAGTCGGCGAGCAGCAGCAGAGGCGCGACGTGAGGAGGAGCGGCGACGCGAGGAGGAGGCCCGAAGGAAGGCAGCAGAGAAGGCGCAAAGGGAGGTGGCGCTGAACAAGGTCATAATGCGGTAAGCACGGGACGCCCTGCAGCGGCAGATGGAGGCTGCGCGGCGTGAAGCCGAAGCCCACGAGGGGAACGAGGAGGAGGATCCGCCTCCTCCGAGGTTCTTAAAGGTGAAGACGGGCCTGGTTGACAGACCGGCGGGGCAGCAGCAGCCACAACAGGGTGAAGAGGCACCCTTATGGGAACGCCGGCATCCTGAGCCACCGTCCCAGCCACAGTGCACGCAACAGCCAACGCCCCCGCAGTCGCCGCCACCAACATCGCCACCACCGAATTCACCGCCACAACAGTCGTCGCCACGACGGCAGGAGTCACCGAAGGAGCCGCCACATGCACAGCAGCCCCAGTGGGGTGGTCCGGAGAACGCGGTATGCGGGCCATTTGTGTCGCAAAGCGTTCACACGGCAGTGAGGAGTGGCATGGTATGGCACCACCAAACGATACACATCACGTGGGCGTCGGGACCCGCACCGTCGGAGGTGCAGCAAGACCGGAAGGTATGGGAGGAGCAGCCAGCACCGCGAAGCAACGCGCGCGATCCACGGCAGCACCGAAGGCAGGCAGAGGCCAGGGCGGCAGAGGAGACGGCGTCGATGGCAAGGGAGCCAGCGACAGCGGCAGCGGGAACACACGCAGCAGCGGAGGCACCGGCTGCGATGGCGGCCGGGAAGCCGGCGGCAGCGTTGGAGACGCCGACATCGGCAGCGACAGAGGCACCGACACCGGCAGCGGCAGCGGCAGCGACGGAGGAAGCGGAGCGCGCGACGGCAGCGCCTGCGACAGCGTCGAAAGAACCGGCAGCGGACACGGAAACAGCGACGCCAGCAGCGCGGCCATCCGCCGAGGCCATACAGAGGAGCCATATGGAACAGCAGCACAGCCGGCGAGCAGCAGCAGAGGCGCGACGTTAGGAGGAGCAGCGACGCGAGGAGGAGCGGGGACGCGAGGAGGAGCGGCGACGCGAGGAGGAGCGGCGACGCGAGGAGGAGGCCCGAAGGAAGGCAGCAGAGAAGGCGCAAAGGGAGGCGGCGCTGAACAAGGCCATAATGCGGGAGGCACGGGACGCCCTGCAGCGGCAGATGGAGGCTGCGCGGCGTGAAGCCGAAGCCCACGAGGGGAACGAGGGGAGGATCCGCCTCCTCCGAGGTTCTTAAAGGTGAAGACGGGCCTGGTTGACAGACCGGCGGGGCAGCAGCAGCCACAACAGGGTGAAGAGGCACCCTTATGGGAACGCCGGCATCCTGAGCCACCGTCGCAGCCACAGAGCACGCAACAGCCAATGCCCCCACAGTCGCCGCCACCAAAATCGCCACCACCGAATTCACCGCCACAACAGTCGTCGCCACGACGGCAGGAGTCACCGAAGGAGCCGCCACAGGAACAGCAGCCCCAGTGGGGTGGTCCGGAGAACGCGGTATGCGGGCCATTTGTGTCGCAAAGCGTTCACACGGCAGTGAGGAGTGGCATGGTATGGCACCACCAAACGATACACATCACGTGGGCGTCGGGAACCGCACCGTCGGATATAGCCACTATAACGTAATCTGCCAGTAAATATCCCTGTTTCACTCTAACTCTGAAGTTTCTTTTTCGGATCCGGACATGCCACGCCTCCTAGCCATCTGAACAACGTCCTGAATGTGTCAATGCCTTCTGGAGAATGTGCAGGATCTTTTGCAATCAATATGGATTGCAGGACATAAAGGATATAGCCACTATAACGTATCCGGCCAGTAAATATCCCTGCTTCACTCTAACTCTGCAGTTTCTTATCGGATCAGGACATGCCACGCCTCCTAGCCATCTGAACAACGTCCTGAATGTGTCAATGCCTTCTGGAAAATGTGCAGGATCTTTAGCAATCAATTTGGATTGCAGGACATAGAGGATATTGCCACTATAACGTAATATTCCAGTAATCTTTTGCAAACATTTTGGATGACAGGACATAAAGGATATAGCCACTATAACGTAATCTGCCAGTAAATATCCCTGTGTCACTCTAACTCTGCAGTTTCTTATCGGATCAGGACATGCCACGCCTCCTAGCCATCTGAACAACGTCCTGAATGTGTCAATGCCTTCTGGAGAATGTGCAGGATCTTTTGCAATCAATTTGGATTGCAGGACATAAAGGATACAGCCACTATAACGTAATCTGCCAGTAAATATCCCTGTTTCACTCTAACTCTGAAGTTTCTTATCGGATCAGGACATGCCACGCCTCCTAGCCATCTGAAGAACGTCCTGAATGTGTCAATGCCTTCTAGAGAATGTGCAGGATCTTTTGCAATCAATATGGATTGCAGGACATAAAGGATATAGCCACTATAACGTATCCGGCCAGTAAATATCCCTGCTTCACTCTAACTCTGCAGTTTCTTATCGGATCAGGACATGCCACGCCTCCTAGCCATCTGAACAACGTCCTGAATGTGTCAATGCCTTCTGGAAAATGTGCAGGATCTTTTGCAATCAATTTGGATTGCAGGACATAAAGGATATTGCCACTATAACGTAATATTCCAGTAATCTTTTGCAGGATCTTTTGCAAACAATTTGGATGACAGGACATAAAGGATATAGCCACTATAACGTAATCTGCCAGTAAATATCCCTGTGTCACTCTAACTCTGCAGTTTCTTATCGGATCAGGACATGCCACGCCTCCTAGCCATCTGTACAACGTCCTGATTGTGTCAATGCCTTCTGGAGAATGTGCAGGATCTTTTGCAATCAATTTGCCCACGAAGCCCACGAGGGGACGAAGAGGAGGCTCCGCCTCCCCCGAGGTTCTTAAAGGTGAAGACGGGCCTGGTTGACAGACCGGCGGGGCAGCAGCAGCCACAACAGGGTGAAGAGGCACCCTTATGGGAACGCCGGCATCCTGAGCCACCGTCGCAGCCACAGAGCATGCAACAGCCAACGCCCCCGCAGTCGCCGCCACCAACATCGCCACCACCGAATTCACCGCCACAACAGTCGTCGCCACGACGGCAGGAGTCACCGAAGAAGCCGCCACATGCACAGCAGCCCCAGTGGGGTGGTCCGGAGAACGCGGTATGCGGGCCATTTGTGTCGCAAAGCGTTCACACGGCAGTGAGGAGTGGCATGGTATGGCACCACCAAACGATACACATCACGTGGGCGTCGGGAACCGCACCGTCGGATATAGCCACTATAACGTAATCCGGCCAGTAAATATCCCAGTTTCACTCTAACTCTGCATTTTCTTATCGGATCAGGACATGCCACGCCTCCTAGCCATCTGTACAACGTCCTAAATGTGTCAATGCCTTCTGGAGAATGTGCAGGATCTTTTGCAATCAATTTGGATTGCAGGACATAAAGGATATAGCCACTATAACGTATCCGGCCAGTAAATATCCCTGTGTCACTCTAACTCTGCAGTTTCTTATCGGATCAGGACATGCCACGCCTCCTAGCCATCTGTACAACGTCCTCAATGTGTCAATGCCCTCTGGAGAATGTGCAGGATCTTTTGCAATCAATTTGGATTGCAGGACATAAAGGATATAGCCACTCTAACGTAATCTGCCAGTAAATATCCCTGTGTCCTTCTAACTCTGCAGTTTCTTATCGGATCAGGACATGCCACGCCTCCTAGCCATCTGAACAACGTCCTGAATGTGTCAATGCCTTCTGGAAAATGTGCAGGATCGTTTGCAATCAATTTGGATTGCAGGACATAAAGGATATTGCCACTATAACGTAATCTTACAGTAATCTTTTGCAGGATCTTTTGCAATCAATTTGGATTGCAGGACATAAAGGATATAGCCACTATAACGTAATCTGCCAGTAAATATCCCTGTTTCACTCTAACTTTGAAGTTTCTTATCGAATCAGGACATGCCACGCCTCCTAGCCATCAGTACAACGTCCTGAACGTGTCAATGCCTTCTGGAGAATGTGCAGAATCTTTTGCAATCAATTTGGATTGCAGGACATAAAGGATATTGCCACTATAACTAATCCGGCCAGTAAATATTCCTGTTTCACTCTAACTCTGCATTTTCTTATCGGATCAGGACATGCCACGCCTCCTAGCCATCTGTACAACGCCCTGAATGTGTCAATGCCTTCTGGAGAATGTGCAGGATCGTTTTTAATCAATTTGGATTGCAGGACATAAAGGATATAGCCACTATAACGTAATCTGCCAGTAAATATCCCTGTTTCACTCTAACTCTGAAGTTTCTTATCGGATCAGGACATGCCACGCCTCCTAGCCATCTGTACAACGTCCTGAATGTGTCAATGCCCTCTGGAGAATGTGCAGGATCTTTTGCAATCAATTTGGATTGCAGGACATAAAGGATATAGCAACTCTAACGTAATCTGCCAGTAAATATCCCTGTGTCACTCTAACTCTGCAGTTTCTTATCGGATCAGGACATGCCACGCCTCCTAGCCATCTGAACAACGTCCTGAATGTGTCAATGCCTTCTGGAAAATGTGCAGGATCGTTTGCAATCAATTTAGATTGCAGGACATAAAGGATATTGCCACTATAACGTAATCTTACAGTAATCTTTTGCAGGATCTTTTGCAATCAATTTGGATTGCAGGACATAAAGGATATAGCCACTATTACGTAATCTGCCAGTAAATATCCCTGTTTCACTCTAACTTTGAAGTTTCTTATCGAATCAGGACATGCCACGCCTCCTAGCCATCAGTACAACGTCCTGAACGTGTCAATGCCTTCTGGAGAATGTGCAGAATCTTTTGCAATCAATTTGGATTGCAGGACATAAAGGATATTGCCACTATAACTAATCCGGCCAGTAAATATTCCTGTTTCACTCTAACTCTGCATTTTCTTATCGGATCAGGACATGCCACGCCTCCTAGCCATCTGTACAACGCCCTGAATGTGTCAATGCCTTCTGGAGAATGTGCAGGATCGTTTTTTAATCAATTTGGATTGCAGGACATAAAGGATATAGCCACTATAGCGTAATCTGCCAGTAAATATCCCAGTTTCACTCTGACTCTGCATTTTCTTATCGGATCAGGACATGCCACGCCTCCTAGCCATCTGTACAACATCCTGAATGTGTCATTGCCTTCTGGAGAATGTGCAGGATCTTTTGCAAACAATTTGGATGACAGGACATAAAGGATATAGCCACTATAACGTAATCTGCCAGTAAATATCCCTGTGTCACTCTAACTCTGCAGTTTCTTATCGGATCAGGACATGCCACGCCTCCTAGCCATCTGAACAACGTCCTGAATGTGTCAATGCCTTCTGGAGAATGTGCAGGATCTTTTGCAATCAATTTGGATTGCAGGACATAAAGGATATAGCCACTATAACGTAATCTGCCAGTAAATATCCCTGTTTCACTCTTACTCTGAAGTTTCTTATCGGATCAGGACATGCCACGCCTCCTAGCCATCTGAAGAACGTCCTGAATGTGTCAATGCCTTCTAGAGAATGTGCAGGATCTTTTGCAATCAATATGGATTGCAGGACATAAAGGATATAGCCACTATAGCGTAATCTGCCTGTAAATATCCCAGTTTCACTCTAACTCTGCAGTTTCTTATCGGATCAGGACATGCCACGCCTTCTAGCCATCTGTACAACGTCCTGAATGTGTCAATGCCCTCTGGAGAATGTGCAGGATCTTTTGCAATCAATTTGGATTGCAGGACATAAAGGATATAGCCACTCTAACGTAATCTGCCAGTAAATATCCCTGTGTCACTCTAACTCTGCAGTTTCTTATCGGATCAGGACATGCCACGCCTCCTAGCCACCTGAACAACGTCCTGAATGTGTCAATGCCTTCTGGAAAATGTGCAGGATCGTTTGCAAGCAATTTGGATTGCAGGACATAAAGGATATTGCCACTATAACGTAATCTTACAGTAATCT